CCCCTTGAAAGATTTAACAGCAAGGCAACACATTTATTTGATGGATTTTATGGTAGAGTTGCAGATCTCCCTTATTGTACCAAAGGACTTTTTAGATAAATTCGGAATTAATCCAAAATCTGTCTGTCTGAAGTAAAGAACTAGGTTTTGAAACTCAAATCCTATGTGTCTAAAAAGTATCTGCCCTGTACCATTTCTGGTTTCATAGTTGTTCTGGTCTTGTATAGTTAGTTGTTTGACCCCTTTCACTCTTACTGATGGCTCTTTCTCATATGAATGAGGAAGTGTCAAAAGCCAACTCATATTGCACAGGGGTGTGAATGCTGATATCGACAGCCAATACACAGGGCTTCAATTTCAAATGTTTATTGTTTGCATGTGAGATACAAATTAAGATAAAGCATAAAAGACTGCAATGACACTGGGCCCTACTTAAAGGCCTCTGCTTGAAATATATCCAGAATTTAAGGCAACGTGGTCTGACTGAAGTGAAATTAAACATAAAATTATAATAATAATTGCTCTTAAATTTCAGTGTGACAACTTGAATCTTGAACCAAAGTTATCTTATGAATGTAATAAGGAGCTGATGTTATTGAAATCCGCTGGTTATAGAAACATTTGAATTTTTCTGTGGTAGAGGAATTCTCAGTAAAATGGATTGGTTTGATAGAATATGGCACCTTCTAGTGGTCAAATCTGAGTACCTTTGAAACTACTTAACTGAGCTGCTCTGTCAACCTAAGTGATTCATACTGTAACACAGTGAGAGCAATACCTGTTGTGTATTACACTTGAGATTAAACGTGCAGTGCAACCTCAATTATCCGCACCTCAATCATTCCCATTCCCAATTAACCGCCTTAAGATGAGCGTCGGATAATCCACTCACATCCCAGCTTCTCGCTTGTTGTATCAATTGCAAGCATTATTTATTTATCTATCTATATATCTGTCTGTCTGTCAGCAGAAATCCTGGAACAGTGTCCCTCAGTCTTCCCTCACTGTTCATCAATCAGTCGGCTTCCAGCGGCAACCCAAATTGGTATTGATTCCAAAAAGTTCCAGAGTAAAGTAAAAGGTGACAATGTGTGGAGCATCCTCATGTTAAGTGAGGTGTTGGATGCTGGAGCACCAACAACCCACTGTGTATGAATTTGCTTCACAAATTCTCCTGTATTGCTCCGATGACTGGCTTCCTGATGCAAAGCCACCGTGACTCAGCAAGTCACCAAACAGAGTCATAAAATCATTAATCTATTGGCCGAAGCCTTAGCCAAGAGTTGCAGTTGACATTTGGAAGAGGTACAAGTCGATAATTATTTCAGGTCCACGTATCCTTCCCTTCTGTTTGAATCAGTGGAATTAATGTGCGAGACACAGGCCCCTTCATTTTTTTCTTCTGTCTACTTTCTCGACCTGCTTCAAGTAATTGGGAAGCAATTACATCCTTGTGCACCTCACAGAATTCCACAGCCAGCGCGTCAGCCACCTAGCCAGTCGGCTGACTTCAGATGGCCAATCGATTCTGTAATCTCCTCTATGTTTAGAGGCTTATCTAACGCTGTGTCTGACGTGCAGTTTGTAATTGGGATTGTGGTATTGTGTTAAGGAATGCAGCGAATACTATAGGTTCCAGGGAGTCTGAAGAATACAAGTTATAATATATATATATGTGTGTGTGTGTGTCTGTGTGGAAGGCCACAAATATCTGACTAGCATCCATTCTTTTGGTCAGAATTCAAATCTGTTCCCTTCAATTTTCTGCATGCGAGAGGATTCCTCATTGGATTTAAACAGTCCTGTTTACTGTTTCCAAGCTTGTTGCCCTCCTCATAACAATGCATGCAAACAAGCTGTTTTTGTTTGTTTCACTAACTGCAAAGACTCTGTATTTTGGATAAGTAAACATCAGCAATTCAGGTCCTTGTTCTAAATCTGTATTGCCTCTCTCCAGCTCTTTTACTTCCCGGCTTCTCTCCTCCCAAATAGTTATTGCAATCGTCCTTGCTCGTAACGTTTACAGAGCTCACAGGATGGCAGGGCTGCTGATTGATCCCTTCCTTATGTCTGAGTAGATTTCAATCTCCTTTTCCATCACAACGATAATAATAATAATATTAATAAAATCTTTTGAAATTGAAGATTAAAACTTTAAGATGTGGCTTGGATATCTGTCCAAGAGTTAATTGATGCCCAAATCTGGTTTGATGTGTCGATACTGCACACTTCTGACCCATTGCCGAAAAGTTCAATGGGCTCCAATATTAGAATGTAATTAATTCTTCAGCAAACTAAGTCAAACTGCTTCCGTTTCAATGTGCAATCGAGCCTTCGTTTCTTTTGCTCAGATTTACATTCCTTCATCTCTAATTTCAGTCCTTGTACCTCAACTTTAAGCTCCTTGATGGAATTTTTGCTTAATCTTTGGCCTGTAAGGTTCATGCCCATTGAGTAAGCCGGAGGTGGAAGGGGAGGGTGTGGGTGGGGGGGAGGTGGATGGGGAGTTTGCAATCTCTCGCCCTATTATTCAGGGCTAAAATACTTTTGAAGTCACCAAGACCCACTGTGATACTGATAACACTTGTCCAGAGATTGGAAGAAAGCAGTGTTTTAGCCAGGTTCCTAATCTGCACTCTGACTCTCCCCTTTCACCAAAAGATAATAGAGTTTATGGTCTCACAACCTTCTTAAAAAGAAAGTGTTTACATAAGCGAGTCTGTCTCTTGTGCAACTTCTTTATCTTAACTCTGTTCTTATATCTTGTCTTCCTGTTAATTATCTTCACTGATCTCTTTTGCATTTGAGCTGATTTCCTGGCTCTTGTTATTTAGGCCAGACTGCGTGTCAAACTCCCAGATTCACTGGAGCCACAATCTCAACTGCTGGTGGCCTCTTCCATTGCACTGTTTTATTCCACCCCCTCCCCACCACCCCCACCCCCGGATTTAATATCTGATTTTGCTGCACTGGCAAGCAAAGATTGATGTAAAAACCAAAGGAGAAACAGAAAAACAAATCTGTGTGTGAGCTTCTTACTGCCAAAGTCTCCTCAATTTGACTTACTTAAAGGAAACATAAAACACTTTGAGATGTCTTCTCAGGGTGAAAGGTGCTCTATAAATGTAAAATAGTTTTGTTGTTGTTTCACCCACAAAATATACAGTCAATTCATTTTATCTTATATTCTCTGAAGCTCTTTGAGATGTCTCAAAGACATGATGAGGCGCTATATCAAATGCAAGGTTTATTATTAATGTTTGAAGAACCAACAGAGATATTGATATCACGTTTGTGTTCATCTTTCCTTGTAAATATTGCACTGATCAAATTCATCAGAGCTGCAGCTGAGAGATAGTAGGTGTCAATTTTTATCTCATTACACTGTCCAGTGGATTTTATTGACCTGATCTGTTATCAGATATCTGCCTGTTGTGTTCTTTCTAGGGATCTGTTTAATGTAACTTGTCACAGCAATTGAAACCATCTCTTATCTTGCTGCAATTCACCTCATCCCAAGTTTAAATAATTTTTTTTAAAAACTCCTTGCTCGTTGATATGTGAATACTTAAAATACAGTAGCTTCTACCATAGTATAATAATGATAAATAATAATAATCCTTGCATTTGATATAGCTCCTCATTACATATACTATAAAGTGGATTAACTTTTGTGGGCAAAATGCAGCAACCAGTTTACGCAGTTTAAGAGCCATGGAGTGAGTGACCAATTTTGTTTATAAATAGTATAAATGGCCATCTGCACACAGCAGTGAATGCAGTAAGATGTTTGCTGTGCCACTTAACATAGTGTCTGAGCAAATCAAAAGTGAATGTGAAATTCCAATTTGTCTGCCAAGCAATAGTTGGCTGCTCTGCGTGTTCCTTTAGTACCAGATGATATTTATTGTAACAATGACAATCCTTGCATTTGATTTAGTGCCTGATCACACTGTTAAGACGACTTAAAGTGCTTCAAAGGCTGCGAAAGGGGAGTATAGCGAAAAGACAGGTAAATAGCACTGAATGGACTGCTCTGTCAATAATAATAATAATCCTTGCATTTGATATAGTATATGGTACGTCTTCTAGACGTCTCAAAGCACGTCACAGAATATACTGTAAAGTGAATTGACTGTATATTTGTGGGCGAAACACGACAGCCGATTGCGCACAGCAGTGTCCCACAAACAGTCGTGGATTGAGTGACCAAATTATTATTGTTTTTTTTAAGAATTATTACCCCCGGAAAAGCGATCCGCTAATCGACTAACAAGTGGGTTCCTATTTACTGCGAGGTAAACAGAGACGTCAACATCTCGCCCGGCCAGGAATCAAACCCAGGGCTCTCGCTTGCGAGGTGAGTGCTCTAACCACTGAGCTACAGGACTCCACCCAAACACCCAACGCGGACACGATGGGCCGAATAGCTTCCTTGTGCGCTGTGATATTTCGGCACAGCTGTCAATATCAGAAGTGCTGACGGCAAGAGATGGACGGGTAGGTTACGTGGAGTTTCCGGGGCTATGGATTCAGACTCAGGGCATTGACGATGGGGCAACAGTGCTGTAAGGAGCTTCCGGTGAATGTGTGCACATTGCACGTGTTGTAAACCTCTCCGCCTTTTAAAAGTGGGGAACAGGCAGAGAGGCTAAACAAGCCCCACTTTGTTAAATTAGTACATTTGTAGCCCAAAGTCAACCAAACACTCGCCCCCCCGCCCCCCCCCAAAGTAGCCCAACAGCGCGTGTTGCCTCCAGTGGGCAGCAAAGTGTTTGGATGCAATCCTTTTGAAACTGTGCAAGAAAAGGAAAACCCACGCGTTTTGCTCGTTTTTTTTTGAGTTAAGACGTCTTAGCGACGAGGCGCCCGCCCAAAAAGCAGCTGTTTCCAGCCCAATTGGGCGTGAAGCCGCCCAACCTGGACGGCGCCAGCAGGGAGGTGAACCCGGAAGAGACGCCGCCTAGCAACCGAGAGGCGTCGCTAGCAACGGCCTGGCTGGGGTGGAGTGGGAGGAGGGGGGGGGGAAGCCATGCCTCTGATGGTGAGGGACCACCGCTGGGAGCAGAGCGAGTCTCACGTTTATATCAAAGTGCCCCTGAAAGGGGTGAACGCCGCGAAAGCTGATGTGTTTTGCACAGAAGAGTATTTGAAGGTGAGGGGGTGAGGGAGGGAGTGAGGAGGGAGGGAGTGAGGGAGGGAGGGAGGGAGGGGAGTGAGTGAGGGAGGGAGGGAGTGAGGGGGGGAGGGGAGTGAGTGAGTGAGGGAGGGAAGGAGGGGAGTGAGTGAGGGAGTGAGTGAGTGAGTGGGAGGGAGGGAGGGAGTGAGGGGGGGAGTGAGTGAGGGAGGGAGGGAGGGAGGGGAGTGAGTGAGGGAGGGAGTGAGGGGGAGGGAGGGAGGGGGAGGGAGGGAGGGAGCTCCTGGTCTCTCTCTCTCTCTCTCACTCATGGATCCAGTCTTAAGAATTGCTCTAAACAAAAAGAAAAAGCAGAATCCTGCAGGTGCTGGAAACCTGTCATCCAAACAAGTCGCTTTGAACCCACAGCAGGTCAGGCACCTCCCATTGGGGAGAGAGGAAAATGAGTTAACTTTTCAGGTCCTTTGGTCAGAGCTGGTGGTGGGGGGTGGGGGTGTGGGTGGGTGTGGGAAGGCAGCAGATTGTAAGGACGAGCGGAGAAGGAAGGCGGAAAGGCAAAGACAAAAGAGAAGGAAATGAAGGCAAAGGAACCATGCAGGTGGAGGACAGAGGATGACAGATCACAGGTGTTGATGGTGCAAGACAGAAGAAGGCAATAGTGGGAGATTACAGAAAGAAAAGATGCGTCTAAGACCCAGAGGATGTATGAAGAGTGGGGGGCGGGAGAGTTTCAATGCTGAGAGAAGATGGGAACCGTGTTTAAGATCTGATAAGAATCGCTATTCCAGTTCGCCCTCCACTAACCTGGCAGTCACGTGCACACATATCATGCCCCAAACTATATCATGTAACCCGAGATATTATTTCCTAACAGAAATCTATCTAATCTGTTCTTGAAATAATTGACACTTTCTACTTCCACCGTCTACCCAATGGAGACTGTCCGCCCTCCATACGTAGTCGCACTCACAATCCAGGCCACAGATCCATCCATCATGTCACATTGGGTTTGCTATATGGGATGTTATCTTGCATGAGGGGACGCTGAATAAATGCAAGTTGTTGTTGTTGTTACTGTCACATTTGCCGCAGAAAGCTCCCTGAAAAATAAAAACAAATGTAAAGAGAAATTTAATTTGGATTTTTAATTGTTGAAAACTCCCAGAATTTTTGCACCTTTGTGCAATAAATAATTTTCCCATGCAACATTTTAAACAATTTTAACATCAAGTGGTTTGTTTTAACAGGTGAATTTTCCTCCATTTCTGTTTGAAGTGGTGCTCTTTGCCCCGATCGATGATACAAAAAGCTCAGCGAAGATTGGGAATGGCGTTGTTATCTTCACTTTGCTTAAGAAGGAGCCCACAATGTGGGAGCAATTGGCAATGCTGGAAGGTGAGGAAAGGTTTAGAAATTCTGCTTAGTCTAAAAGCTCTTTAGGTGAAAATACGTTTACTGATATTGCGGTAAGATACCGTAAACATTATGATTTTATTGGGATGTTATAACCAGCTTGGGCCTTTCTGTTATTAGATAACAAGGAAATGCTGCAGAAAAAGAGAGAGGATGCTGTCCTTGCTGCCCATGAGAGAGCTCAAGAGAATTCAAAACAAAAAGTTGTTCAAAAACGACAAAATGAGAAATATACGTTGGAAACTATGATGCAGGTAAATACAGCATTGTAGATTCACCCTCCTTCAGCTCATAATTTAAATTGATGTTTCCATGCATCTCAGGTGCATCAATAGAGGCAGTCTGATACATTACTAATATCACAGTGAGAGAGAGATTCTTCACAGAGACATGAACTTGATTTAAAAATTGTTTGGTCATGGAGTAATATCGTTGGGTGGAGCATATCTTACTTAATTTGGGACAATACATATTGGAAATATCATAACTCCATGGCTTGTTGCAATTCCTGCATCCTATTGATGAAGACGTTGGGAATACTTTGAATATATTTACTCAATAGTAGATTAATCAAATATTGATGTTCGGATAAGTATATTCAATGTATCTGTGATAAGTTTACTTTTTTTATATAGGCAGTATATGTGTGATAACAAATACCATATTCACTGCAATTTTTACAGAAATGTAATCCTCTTGCTTCAACGTGCAGTACGTAAAACTCTGAGATTGCGTTGTGCTAAAATTCTAGATAGACGAGAGTAACAGGAAATGTATTGAGGAACTGAAGGAACAAGAGCGAAGACAAGTTACTAAGGAGCTGGAGCAGTGGAAGCTTCAACGGTGTCAAGAGGAAGAGCTGAAGAGAGCAGAGGAGTTAAAAAGAAAGGAGGAACTAAAGAGAGAGCAGCAACAAAAGAGAGAGGAGCAATTGAGGTTTGCAAGGCAAAGAGCCGAGGCAGAGAACAGTAGTAAGAAGAAGAAACAAAATAAAACACAAAATACTCACCGCCTTGCTGCAAAACTTCCAAACAAATCTTCTCTTAAAAAAGGTAAATTAAGCTTTACATCATGTCTATTCAAAATTAATCCGATTGGCAATATACAACAACAACAACTTGCACTTATATAGGGCCCTCCATGCAGAGTAGCGTCTCAGAGAGCTTGGATATAACCATCATCTGTGAATTTACTTCAATATTTAAGTATATTGTGTTTAATGGGTATGAAAAATATCATCATGTTCAGTCCCAATAAACATCCTGAAATGTAGCACAATAGTATTAACCTAGATTGCAGTTTAATTTTTTTAGTTGTGGCTTCTTAAGAAAGAATCCCATTAGATTTCCTGTAATTCCCCAGGATCTCTGCTCCAGAATAAGATCCTGTCAGTGGTTAAAGGAAGGAGTTAGTCCTTTTGTGCCACTTTGACCCCATTATGAAATATCCCAAATTGCGGGTCAGAATTTTATGGTGTGATATCTTGGTGTAATGCTGAGATTTAATCAGTACAGGACCTGCATTTGCAGGCATCATGCTCATTTTTGCAATTTATTTAGGGATTGATTTGTTTTTGTTTTCTTCTCTGATTTAGTTCATAATTATGGCAAACCGCATTTGTTTAACAATATGATTTCTGATGATTGACATCTAAACAGGTGGCAATGCTGACATATTTACTGGAAATTCCAAGGAGGACATGTTACCAGCTCCACGTGAGGCTGGCAGTATTCACATACAGTTCACACCCCGAGTCTTTCCTACTGCTTTAAGAGAATCTCTCATTGCTGAAGAGGAAGAGGTAAAGATTGTATAGTCTAATATTGTCCAGAAATGGAATAAACCTTTCAGCATTACTTCACATGTACAGACTCATACATTCACCTACAGTCACTGCGCTCTACAGTAAATTCTGAAAACATGGTGGGTGGGTGACTTACTTCCATTCTGCTACAAAGCTTAACTGTAATCTGTAAATGTACATGAACGCATGACCGATCCTCTTAATTTTTCGGCCTCTTGTCATTGGGAACCAGTTGGTTTCTGTTCAAAATTTGCAAGTGAGATCAAGTTCTTAGTGGTATAAAGGATGACAAAGACAATGATGACAATTTATGAAGGGGATTTCATTGCAGTAGTCAGATTTGTTTTTACGATTTATGCGACATTGCACTGGAACTGATGTTCTTTATCTCTTTGCAGTGGTTACAAAAACAGGCAGCAGCTAGACGTATTAAAAATATAAATATCTCTGAGCTGAACGATCTAAAGGAAGAAGAGAAAGATCCTGACTGGCTGAAGGACAAAGGGAAGTAAGTTTATTATTAACCTTACTAATAAAATACGCATTTTTAAAAATTTGTGGAGGACAAGGAGGGATACATAATAAATAACAAATAATCCTTGCATTTGATATAGCGCCTTTCGTGTCAGGAGCACGTCTCAAAGCGCTTCACAAGATGTTCTGCTTATTACTAATTTTAATAGACTTAATTTATGTGACCTTTCTACCACTTGCAAGTTGGATCTTCCAAGGTTATGAAAGACGATGGAAACTTAAGAATTAAATTAAGTTTAAGAATTAAATGCAATGTACTGGACTTCAGCAATTCTAAAATGTATCCTCTTTTTTTCTAGTAGGCTGTTTGGAACAGGAAATTATCTTGCAGCTGTTAATGCCTACAACCTGGCCATACGACTGAACAGTAAACTTCCAGTCATTTATCTGAACCGGGCTGCGTGCCACCTTAAATTGAGAAACTTACACAAAGCAATTGAAGACTGCTCCAAGGTTAGTTTACACCTAGTTCCTAGAAAACTAGATACAGTATTGCTGACTAAGGGAATAAACAAGACCCCTTTTTGACTTTTGTCTTGGCCAAAGGATCATCTTACTTTTTCAACGAGGGCCAATTCGAACTATATTTACAGATAACATAATGCTTATCCTTGAATTTTCAAAATCTTAAAATTGAATCCCACGAAAGACGTGTAGTCTCTCAATTGAAATGCTTTTATTTATTTGTTTTCAATATGATATTCAAGCTTTCTCTCTTCTAGGCACTTGACTTGTTAACCCCTCCTGTTCCTGACAATGCAGACACCAGAGTGAAAGCTCATGTTAGAAGAGGGACAGCATTTTGTGAGCTGGAAATGTATGTGGAAGGTAAGAGCAAGACATTTTATTACGAAAAAGGAATACGGTAGTTACAATCTTTTCTTTCGCTGTCCAGTTTTCTCTGCATGAATATTGCCTGTTGAGTGCACTTCCATTGTCCTGTACCTCATCCAAGTGGTCATTTCTCAGTTGTGAACCTAGAAAGTAAGTGTTGATAGGTTCTTTCATTGTGAGGGCATCACAGCTAATCCTGCCGTAATGTAAAGCCCACACACATGAACTTCAGCAAGAGTTATCAGGAGAAGGAACAGCCTAATTTGCCATAACTCTACCCCCAGCCTGGGCATGTTCAGACCAATTATGGAACCACCGCTGCCTGAGATTGGCTCATTCAGAATAAATTGAGCACTAAACTGATGACTCTCCTAGTATGTTTTCGACAATTTGCAATTATTGGATGGATATCTTGTATCTGTTTTGACAGGCCTCCTGGACTACCAAGCTGCTTCGAAGATTAACCCGAATAACCAGACAATCCAAGCAGATGCAGAGAAGATACGGCAAGTGATTCAAGGGACTCTGCCAGATCCTTAAAGGAACAAAACAACTTGCAGTTTTAGACACTACAATTGTAACAAATGAATTTCTACCTTCAACGTCTGTTATGTCACAGAAAATGTATCAGAGACAAGTACCAAACTTACTTGTTAAATACAAACTGGGCCTCTTTGGATTAATCAGAAAATCTAAACTTGGATAAATTTGGAAAAACTTTAACTTTAAATAAGATGACTTAAATATAATTGGTGTTGCTGAGTTTCCAACTCTTTATGGGGATCAAATACAGATACCTTTTGTCATTTATGACAGTTTAGCAGGGATGGGAGTGTGTAGCTTCACTATAATAGTATAATGGGGAGGGAGCATGTATTTTCTTGCCTGGCTCATGAAGACCAGCAGTTGAAAGAATTGTATTCCATCATTTACATCTACTCTAGGAAGTGTGCACCTAACAATTTGAAAAGGGAAATTTCTCAGCCATAAACACAGGTGACCTTAAATTGACTTTATCTATGTTAAACAGCGTGGTTCAGAACTAGTGTTTCTTCCAACCATTCTCTTTCTTAAAAATAGAACTGTGGGTTGGGTTATAAATATGCTGTAGCAAAGCAGAAGGAAATGATGTATAATCACCCTTCAGCACAATGAGTATTCCTGATTCTGGACTTGATCATAATGAGAACTAGTAAGCAAAGTCAGGGTATTTCTGCCCTAGAGAGATAGAGAAAATGTGAAACAAACCATTGTGAGTACCACTTACACAATTCCTATTAGAGCAGCACAGGCAGAAACATGGGATCAGTTTATAGAAGGGAAAGTGTCATGAATGAGGGTAGAGGAGAGACTAAGAACTGAGCATGAGCATTTTGGACAACATTTGGAGGGCCTAAATTTTGACACTCCCAACGAAGTATCAAGAGCTATTCGCTATTACCTAGAAACTCTAGAACGCTCTCCCTCAATCCCTCCGCCTTGTCCCCTCTCTCCCCTTTTTCAAGTCCCGTCTGAAAACCTTCCTTTTCAACCCTGCTTATGGTCACCTCCCCCATGACTCGCAGTCAGGCTCCGCCACTGTTAAGCGCTCTGAGATGCTACCCTGCATGGAGGGCACTAGATAAGTTCAAGGTGTTGTTGTTACCTATACATTTTGTATTTTTTTCACATATTACTAATAGGTTGTCATCCTTTGCATTTCTAATTCCTATTGTAGACAAAAGAAAGATGATCAAATTAATAAGGGAATCCACTTCTATTCCATTGTTTTTCAAAGAGAAACAAACGTTATAGTTGGAATGTGCTGCGATTATATAATATTTTGCAGACTCTATCGATAGTTTTATTATAAGGTGAATGTTACATGGATTTTACAATACAATATTTCATTAAAATAAACATTGAACAGCTGCCTCAAACTGGTATGAAAACTACTGATTATATAGATGCAGTAGTCTGTATTCTTCAAATCCCAACACCTTAATTCCCAGTCACCTTCCCATTCACAACCATTTAACGTGTAAGGTAATGAAATACAATTCAAAATAACTGAAGCTGTCACTCTTCTCTGAAGGATAAAACAATTAACCAAAGGAACCAAAGAAAGTTAATTTCATTTGAATTTACAAAGGTTGTAGTTTGTTTTACAGCTCCTACCCTCACCTTTAAGCAAAATAGCACGATTATTTTTTATTTTATCAAAATATTACATTACAGAGTTGATCGAATTTGAACATATTCTTTAATATGTACAGCATTACAAATAGATGCATTATCAGTTATCTCTATTTTGCTATTAACCATCTATAAAATGCAAAAGCAAATATTAAAAACTCATACAGTCCAAGACTTTGCTCTTGTCCAAGTAGGTATTCATAGAGGAATTGCGGTACATCCCAGCATTTCTCAGTGGTTCAGAGAATGCCTGCGTTAATGGATTGTGTGTAGTAGGTGCTGTTTCGCAAGTAGGAGGGTTGGATCCATATTCAGCAGAAGTCGTCTTGAAGAGTGGGTGCTGTGGGTTGACAAATGGATCCGATGTGGGTGACGGCGTTGAAAGTTGAGATGTGTAGGAAAACACAGGGTTTCCAAGATTCAAATAGGAAGGTGAAGACTGCTGCCTCTTCTTGGGCTGGGGATCGGGGGCAGGGATTGGGCTGGGCTCATCACACATTTTTTTTTCTTAATTAAATAATGCAATTGCCACTTCCTTTCCAATCAGCAATACTTCTGCTTGCTCCTCTTGCTTTCGGTTCTGTGCCCCTTGGTGCCGGCTCTGCTCTGCAGGGTCGCTCTCGCTGTCAGAACCCTTTCTGTTCGAACAGAATTCTTACAATTCCCCCTTTGCTTTGCTGTTGTGTTGGCTTGTTGTTGTGTCCCCCTCCGGTTTGCCCGGCCGCGTTGTCGAGGAGAACCGCCGAGGAGAACTGGATGGACCCTGGTCTTCTTTTGCCAAAGCAAATTCTTACGGTGTCTTAATTCTTATTATCTCGGGTTACAGCGTATAGTTTGGGGCACCACACGTCGAGCGAGCGCCAGGATGATGGAAGGCGAACGAGATGGACCTCGGTCTTCTTTTGGCCAACAAGTTCTTAGGTTCTTATGCCTTGTTACAGTCCCCCTTTGGTTTGCTGACTCTCTTGTCCCCCACCCTCCCCCCGCCCACCACCCCCCAGGTGGTTACCGTTTGTTGTGGAAGCGGCGCCATGGCAACGGCCTCCTGATTGGTCCGGTCGAGCCGCCGACGCGTCAGTAGTTCCCGCCGCGTTGAAGGGAGAGCAAAAGGCAAGGGGAGGCGGCGTCCGTCAGGACTACAGATCCCACAATGCCGCGCGGCACCGGCCCGTGTTGCGCGTATCGTAGAGGGGGGGGCGGGGCGGGACGAGACGACGTCACGGCGTCACTGCGTCACAGCTCTGGCTGTCGTCGGTCAAAACATCACAAGAGCCGCGGCCGGGGGTTTGGGCACGCGCTTGTGTTATTGTCTGTGTTTATCTGCGCGCGCGGGCGGTGAGGGGTGGGGGGGGGGGAAGAAGAGGAGGAGGTGGTGGTGGACGACGCCGACGACGACGAGGTGCCGGGCCGACCGACCGCTGAGCGACTGTATTTTCCACACCGGTTCGGAAGACGGCGGCATTTTTGATCACCGGATGAGCAGAAGTGAAGCAGGTTAAAAAAAAAGTTGCGGTGTTTTTTTTCGCCCTGTGGGGGCGGGTGGGGAGGAGGGGGGAGGAGGTGGGGGTGGGGAGAGAAATGTCATCAACCGAGTGAGATAGAGGTGGGGGAGAGTAAAAGAAAGACTCTTTCCCCTCATTCACTCTCTCACTCTCTCTCCACGGTCGTCGAGCTCGAGGAGAAACGGTTGACATGGCTGTAATAACACGTGACGATGTTGTTGTGAGGCAGGAGACGGTGGTGGGGGGGGAGGGGGTGTCAGACAGAGAGAGAGGGAGAGCAATTGCTACCAGATTGGGCGACTTTCACGCCCAATTGGACGGACGTGTGTGTGGGTGGGGGTGTGTGTGTGTGGGGGGTGTGGGGGGGTGGGGGGGAGAGAAGCTAATTTTTTTTTTAAAAAATGTTTTTATTTAAACCTGTAAAATGTCTCTCTCCCCTACCCCCCCACTCCCTTCCTTCGAAGAGCTTTTCTTTTAACTACTTTACTTGTCTGGTTTTCAAAAAAAAATCCCCCGACTGACTGACTGACTGACCTTAAATCAATCATGTTGTTGTTGTTGTTGTTACTGCTGCTGTGCTGAGGGAGGGGCAGGCGACGTCTGACAAATATTGGGCTACTTTTGGTGGGTTTTAGGCTACAAACGCTATTTTAATTTCTGGCGAACTTGGGAGGGGGTGGGGGGGGGAGAGAGAGAGAGAGAGAGATGTCGGGGGCTTCTGAGGACACTTAACAGACCAGGGGGATGGTGAGAGAGGAGGTGGGGGGGGAGGGGGAAGGTTAAGTAGCTCTCTCTCCTCTCTCTGCTTCTCTATTCCTCGCAATCTCTCTCTTTCAACCCACCCCCCCCACACACACACACACACCCGCCTCCATCAAAAGCCACCAGCCTCCTCCACCCATACCGGCGTATCCTGCCCTCCCCTCCTCCGCGACACCGACATTACATGGCTGAAAAGGGCAGAGGAGAGAGCCGGACGGGCAGGACGTGGTCGAGTTATTTCGGTAGCGGGCTGAGCTGTCTGCCTTGGCTCGGTTTTGCTGGGGAAAGAGAGAGAGAGAGAGAGAGAGCTCTGATGGAAAAGTGACCACATAAATAAATGCATCAACGAGCTAAACTGGGCACTTTACTTTTTGTTCGGTTCTCCCCCCCCCCCCCCCCAAACCCTCCCCCCCCACTATATATATATATAAAACCACAGCTATGTATTCAATTTGGGACTGTACACGATCTGGTTAGCATTGGATAACTCCCCCCCCCCCCCCCACCACCCAGCACTAACCAGCTCTCTACCATTCTTGTTCACTTTGTGAAATAAAAGTATTTAGGTGATTTTTCAACAAAAAAAAACAAATAACCAGAAAACTAGGCTTGTGTTTCAGGTGTGGAAGATGAGTTGTTAGGCAATAGAGTACAAAATTACGTTTGTGTAGCGGGCTTTCATGTTGGGAGGACGTCCCAAGGCATTGGACAGTCAGCGATTTGGACCAGGCAGGCAGGCAAGCGCTTGTTTTGACTAATAGATGCCAACAGACTGTGTAATAATCAGGCAGATGCGAGTGCGCAGACGCGAGCAGGCGAGTGGCTACAGGAACCACTCAAAGAGGAACAGACCGGAGTTAGCCGGCCAACTTTTGCCCTATTGTTGCCCTGTGCCGAAGACGCAAGCGGCCAGATCAGAGGCCTTGGGTGAGCAAACAGTCAGCGAGGGGGCCGAGGGCTTGGTGTTCCAGGCGAGGAGGCTCCAGGCGAGGAAACGCCTTTTCAAAATCTCCCGCCTTCACCAACTGTCTAAACCGCCTACACGACATCATTTCCACGCGCTGTTCTTCAAACGCTCCACAAGCTAAGTATTTATGTTCACCTCTTTTCCATCCTCCTCCTTCCTCCACCCCCGTCCATCCTCCTTCTCTGGCTTTGGTCCAGCAAAGCCATGAGAGCCATCCCCTCTGGCTCCCCTCTGTGCTGTCTCCCCTAGCCCCTGCCATGCCTGTAGGCTGACCATGTCCCACTGAATGCCGCTGCTCCCAGTCTCTGCGTGCGCGTTTTGGCTGCCGCCCCAACCCGAGCCGCTTCCCACCCCCTCTGAAAATGCTCCCCTTCTACTTGCCACACTCCTTGACACCCACCCAGTCCTTCTCTCCCACCGCCCTCCTCTCTCTCCTGGACCCCATAAGTGCCTCCCTCTGCTCCAGCTTGGACATCCACCATCAGGCCCATCATGGCTCTCAGCGATGGTTGTCTCAAAGCAGCCACTCCAACTGCCCCATTGTCCAATCTCCCTGACACAGCCACCTCTTTTTTTTCATGATAAACCGTGGAGGGTGGGGGAGAGTTTGGAACAGGTAAGGATGTGGATGAGGGAAGGCAAACACCCCACTATATAAATGTAAGTTGTTGTTGTAATGATGATTGAATAAAACAAATTTTGTTCTGGAATTGAAGGCCATGTTTCAGACGCTGACGACTATTTGTAATCGTTCTTGGCAGAGGTGCCAAAACAGAAATTATTTGTGTGTTAGTCGTGATCAATCCAGAGGAATTAACATGAAAATGATATTTTGAGCTCTGAGTCAAAATGACTGTAGTTTTACTCTCAACTGTGAGTGGCTGATTGATAATCATCCAAAAAGGCTCAACTGGATCGTAATGGATCACTAAACCTTTGTATCCAAGCACGCGCAACGTAATTACTATTCAGGATCTAGGATCTGGAGTTAAATTACTTTAAATTTAAGTTGAAACTGGTGAAAAAAATAATGCCAAGATAAAAGAGGATCATTATTTTTCCAACGTTGTGACTTGTCATATAGTTTGCAATGGCCTTTTCTGGTCTGGTACATTCCTACATTGTACTTAAAATCTAAATTCTTCTTGTATTTTGTTTTGAGCTCTTTTGTCTCATATTTATAGTAATTCATTGAACAACTTTTTGAACATCTAATGATCCAAGATCTTGTTTCCACATCACTATAGTATACTGTGAACTGGGTGGAAATTTTAAGCTTTTCATAGTTTTTGAGATTTGTCTTGTTGAATCTTATTCATCAGCACGAGATTTGTGAATATATGAATTCCATATTTTTCTGGGGCCGTACTTTACTTGTCAGAGTGACCATTCTGCTTTAAGACCTTGCCAGTGCTGCAATGCTCGATTGTGAGCAGCTGTTTCTCGGTCTCTTGGCCTAAACTCTTTGGCACATCCTCAAAACAATGGAGCTGCATCGCACACCAGCAAGGCACTCTGTCTTGGTGAACATGTTTTACATTTTCATCTTGGTAAATAATTAAGGAAGATTTATTGATTTTTGTGCATTTTCTTGAGTGGTTTTAAGCACCATTAAGGATTTAAATTTAGGTCAAATCCCATAATAGCTGCAGAATAAGATGTTTTCTGTGTCAGTGTAAACAGTGTTTAATCACATGATAATTTTCATGATCTAAATTACTTACTGCTATGAAAATTGCAAGAAATATTTGTCTTGTTTTCAGTGCAACTTTTGTAAAATGTGACTTTTGTCAACTTTCCATTTCCTTCTTTGATCTTAAAATGCAACATTTTGGTGGTGTTGCATCACAGCTTGCAAAGATCGTAGACCATAAAAAGTTTAATTTTTACAAAGATCAGAAAAATTGAGATTTTAGGAAGAGATTGGGAGGGAGCAAACTGTCACACCGGGCAAATGTATTTTTTTTAGAAACAAAATAGTTTAATATTTTGCAGATGTCAGATGCTACCCTTCATGAGGGGCACTGTATAAATGCAGTTGTTTTTCTTGTGGAAAAAATGTCAGTGAATTTAAAGGATAAGAGCAAACTGAGAGACTGCAGAACTCATGTTGTTTTATCTCCTGTAATCTTAGAAATAATTTTAGGAATTAAAATGCACCATGGAGCAATAAAAGTTTTAATGTGTTTTAAATCAGATGGACCATTGTTCTATTTTTGTGCATCATTGCACTGTATTGTAATAATAGAACATGGGTTAGAACCGATGATTTTCTCACATGATAAATTTATGACCTTGATTAAAGATGGGCTAAAATGATAGACATTTGTCTCATAGGGAATGAGAAAAAATGAACAGGTGAATCACCCTAGGCTTCTATCCTAGTCACTGGATCAAGAGTGGCATCAGCAAAGCCTTGAACACCTGTCTGCTCTCAGCTGCATATGGTGCAGAACAGGGAAGAAAGATAAATTGGAAGGAGAAAAATAAGACTATTGTACTTTAATCTGTTTTATTTTTTCAAAACAAAACTGCTTTAAAATAAAAAAGGATCAATATTTGATGATAATTCTGTAGGTACAGTATTCTTGAAAAGTTGTTAGAATAATCTGAGTTTGGATTGGTTTGTTACTGTACACTGTAATCACAAGGATTTATTTATCTGACGTAGTGCTCAAAGCCCCAGTTTCATTTTAAGCTCACACATAAAACCCACACAGCTGCTTTATGAATAGATCCTTTGTCTGCTGGATGGATATTTGTGCAAAGAGAGATGACTGGTCATGTGGCTGGCTTCAGAGACGAATACCTTCTGGCAACTATATTGTGGCTTTTTAATCGTTTTTTGTTCAGTGCAGGTAGCATCAATTGAATTGAAGTGCTATTAAATATAATTTACTGAAATAGTCCATTGCTACACTGCAAAGAGCTGGACTTACGTTTGATATGTTCTGTTTTACAGTTAACCGGGCTTGAAGATGTCCGAGAGTTCCAGTGATAGTGAATCTTCCTGTGGTTGGACCATTATACACCATGAAGTACGAGATTTTTCTTTTACTTTTTTTGTACTTAAGGTGATAGATGATTTTTGCACTCACTGAACACCTGAAGAATTCAATAAAAATCGAAGAACTGCCAACACAAACTAGTGGAATTATGCACATTTACAGATTCCAAATGTGCACTGGTCTGCATAATTTAAGATTTAATTTTCATTCATTTTTTTAAAAAAGTTTCTTAGGTTTGCCACATTGTTGCATTTCTTTCCTCTTTTAATCCCTATTCTCTATTCTATTTTTACAACATCCAACATTTGGAACTATTTCTAACTATTTAGAATAAAGTTTCCAGTTCCCACATCCATTTTGGGAGGTTCTCTTTTATATTGGGACTAAGTCTGTAGCTCATGAGAAGTTAATAGATTGGTTGTTGACAGGGTTACAGCTGTAATGTGACCATTGCATTATCTTGGATATGAAGTTTACATCTAAAAGAGGATGTGGGAAACTGCCAGTGTAAAGATGTAAGTGACATTCTTAAGGTTTACATAATTATATTATCAACTTTTCCTTCATACTAACATCAAGCCTCCCACAAACCATAACTACTAATTATAGACGTGTGGAAATAGTTGTTAGAATGTTAGAAATAAATGCATTTATTTTCTATCAGCGAAAAATAGTGTACTTTAACTGTATCAGCGAAAAATAGTGTACTTTAACTGTTCAATAATGAAATGCTTGCTGCTAAAAAATGGTGAGTTCTCCCTGCACCAGGTCCAGCAGAGTCTTGATGTCCCTGTTAATGACCTCCGGCCTGCTTCACATCCCCCGCCTTGCTCATCCCACTATTGGCGGGTGGGCCTTCCTCCGCTCTACACCCACCCTCTGGAACTCCATCCCGTAGTCCCTCCATCTCGCCCCCTCCCTTGCCACCTTCAAGACCCACCTAAGATCCTTCTCTTCGACCGTGCTTTCGATCTCCCTGCTCCCCCAGCCTGTCCCCCAGCTCATGTCTGTAACTCTCTTGTTCCAGCGCCTTGAGACATCCTCCCGACGTGAAAGGCACTATACAAATGTAATTTTTGTTATTGTCATTTGATGAGACCAGATGATAATGGCACATTTCTTTTTTTATTTTTCTGATGCTTGAGATGGGAACCAACAAACCCACCATCTTCTCATGTGACAGTAGCTTGGTATTGAGCCCACTAGTACCCCAGTACAGCTGAAAGTTTAACGTTTGCCAGCTTGTTGGATAGTTTCCTCCAAACAGAGTCTACTCTCGCATACACCTGCACTGGAGTTATAAAGGCCATAGAATGAGGGAGGAGAAACATCTATATACCTCAGCACAGTTCTACCAGCTATGTGGTTTGGCCTCATCCTGTTGGTTTTATAAAAATACGCCAGTATTTTTGGAATGATTAAAATATCCGTTAACCACATTATTTTTGTAACTGCAAATACATCTGTATATTTTGGACTTTCTACTGTAATATTGTTTGCTGACTGACTTTTTTTACTTTTTAATAGGGCTCTGATGTGGAGGTGCTGGGTCCAGACAGAGGAGAGGCAGAATGCTCAGGGCCTTTGGAGCATCAACAGTTAGATAAGCTCTTGGGTAGGCAGTATAACAGTTAAAATACTTCACAAACATTTACTTTTGTCATTCTAGTTATAAATGAAGATTCATGCAAATGCATAAATTTTAGAATCTAGCTTCCATATCCATATAAAAGAGAGCCTCGTAAAAGTAAAAAATCTTAGATTTTAAAATGGGTATTATTCTCTCTTGAAATAGCTAAAATCATGTATTATCTTTTTACAAAGCCTTATTTTGTCTCTTCCAAAAGTGTATTTAAAAACTGCTATCATTGTATATTGGCCATGTGTGAACAAATAGTTTTTGATAGCACTTGGGGTGGGGGGATATCCATTCATTCCCCGAGTGTACGCTGTAATCCATTTCATTTTGTTCAAGCTTCACAAATTCTCTAACCTTTCTAACCTCATTTGGTGAGAATTCCCTCTTCATTATCCTCCATAGAGAAAATGGTTGTAACTAACAAACGTTATTTCAAAGTTAATTGTGACTACAAATTGGTTAATTCTACCTTATTAACATTTTTTTGTAAGCTTTTTGACCTAATAATGGGCTGAATTAAATAACAAATGGTAATGATCTGGACAAGCAGCAAACCTCAAATAGAAAATATTTAAAGCTCTAGCAACAATTAATGAGCTGCTTACTAGTCAAAGATAGTATTAAGGGCTAATAAATAATACATTTTTTAAACCTGCTGTACTGAGGTTTGGCCAGTGATGAAGCACATACATTGAGTGTACTGGGATATTCAGCACTTAAGACTGCTTGGCTATCACATTATCCTGATATTTCACATCGAGTCGGATTGCTTGTAGTCGCCTTTAATTTCCTGGTCTAAAATATTTTATTTCAACGTAATTTGGTTTGCAGAAGCTGAAACTGATCATTCAGTATCAGTCACAGATGGTCCTGATTCTTCAGTCACTTTGAAAGAAAGGGAATCGCTCTTTGAGGTGAGCTATTCATTGTTCTTTTATCATTAAAGACGTTTAGAAGTGCAGAAGTTTATCAAGGAATTTTAAAGTTGCCTCTGTGTATGCCGTGGAAAAGTAATATTCAGTAAAGTCAAATTGCTTCTGATTGTAAATGTTTCAGAACAATGAATTAATTGAACAACTGTTTAGGTTGAGTCAATTTTTAAAAAGCAAATTTATAGTTGCCATCTTAAAAATAAATAAAATTTGTTTTTGCAAAATAATTGAATATTTGGTTGAGTGGTAACAGTTTTCAGTTAAGTTCAAATTGACCTATTGCTTTAGAAACCTTTCAGCATTTCACGCAAGCCTATCCAGTACTGTGTCTGCCACATCAGATAAATGGCTTCAAAGAGTGCAGCAAATGCTGGCATGTCAACTCCGCCTCTGTTGGTCATCAGAATTAGGTTAACTATTTTAAAGAATAGCAATGTAGAAAACTGAAGATTTTTTCATAAATGAAAAATTAACATGCCTGGTTACCTTTTTCTTTTAAATAGGTACCAAAAGAAAAATCGGCTGATGATGGTGCTATTGTTGGTGCTACCAGTGACGATTCAGATATTGTTACCCTTGAGTCACCTCCTGTAGAAGATTTGCATGTCCAGGAAGAAACTGAAGTTGAAACTGAACAGGATACAAACAATGAAGAATTGAATCTTGGTTCCTCTTCCAGTAGCCAGTATACCTTCACCCCAACTGAAACTGGTAAGACCGGATCATTTAGGCTACAAGCAGAATTTTAAGAAGTACATTTCTGATTTATTGGAATATGTTGTTGATACTGCAGTTACTGACTTAATTCTATTTCAGATGTTGGTGAATAAATGTTGGTTCTGGAGTTTAATGCATATAATATAACTAATTAAAAAATGCAAGAATTATATAATAAAAATATGACAATTATAATAACCCTAATCCTTGCATTTGACATGTCACCTTATTGCATCATCGAGATTTCTGAGTGCTTCATAGGATTTTAAATTTCAAGTTTGCTTATATTCTAGAAGCTTCTGATACCTATTCCTGACATTACAGTTGAGTCTGAGTCAGCTCTTTATGTTGCTAAAACCCAATTACTAAATCAACTATATCTAAATATAATATGTATGGTGATAAAAGAACAATGCATACCTAGAAAGATAATGCAAAGCAGCAAGTTAAGCAAGGATCATGGAATGTTTACGGCAAAGGCCATTTGGCCTGTCTCTGCTGGTACTAGCTCCCCCAGTGTAGCTAACTACTCTAATCCCATTCTCCTAATCTTTCTTCATGACCTTTATTTTTTTTCTTTTGAATGCTTAAGGTATTGCTTAACTTCATTACAGAGCTGAGATAAATGGTGACGATCTCAATATTGATTTTTAGTTCTATTGAACATACTTGTGTTTTCTGACTGTTCGATAAATTGATTTGTTGCTGGCAGTGGCTCAGGATATGTGCGCATGTTGTCATTTGCAGGTCTGTGCAATCAAGTATGTGATTTAACTAATTTGTTATAGGGTGCTAAATGAAAAGTGGATTGCAAAACAGCACACTCATTTTTTATGCAAACATTTAGTTTTTACAAATGCGTCTTCATATGTAAACACACTAAAAGCAGTCATTTTTGTATTTTTCATGCTGTTGTATTCAGTGGCAAAGAATTTGTTTGTATGTATCTCTCATTTTATATAACTAGTCAGAAGTTACAAATCAAAATGTCTATGGATAGTGTTATATAATGTAAAATAATTGAAGTGATCAAATGAATCAAAAGTGAAATAGGCTGTAAAAGTAATATCCAACTGGCACAGATAATTAGCCTAACTTTTCCCAAAATAACTTCTGGAAAGGTTGAATATTGGAATTTAGGGTTGGTAGAAAATGTTTAGAAACCACTGGGAAAAGTTGTTATAGCGTATTCAACTGGGTTCGTTGTCTTAGTTGGGTGGCACTGTATTTTGCATGCTTTGATGATTGAACAAAATGGTGCTCCAACGCGTTGTGTTCTGGATTGTTTAAGGCTGGGTTAATTCCTCAATCACCAATGAACATTATTTATCTTGGCTATACCAAGGTAAAGTGCCTAACAGACGACAGATACTAACATGTGCTGTGAAATCATGAATGCCATTTGCTCTGTGTTGACAAGTGTAGGTACAAAACTACATTGAATCTCAAACTAAATGGCTCAAGCAAAAGAAAGCATAAATCTAGATGATGTTTTCTCCCCTTATTTCACAACTGATACATCAGTTTAGCCAGTGCCAGTTAAATATTTTTAGAATTATGTGGTTTGTTTGTGCCCCATCTCTAAACCTTTTCTCTGAATGGATTGTGTGTGCAATGATTTCCCTTGGGCACGTTTATCCTCATTTGGATCATTGGGAGAAGGAACTGAGGAGATGGCAAACCTATTAGTATTAATTTTTCTACATAGTTCTGCACTCTATTTATAAATCTAAATGAATGGTGAATTCCAGAACCAGCATGTCATTTGCTTACAAAAAAAACAAAAGTGGATGGTGGCTCAATTTATGATTGCTTTACAATATTGTGCCGCAATTAAGCTTCTAGATCAGTAAAAATTTTCACTGTTAATCTCTAAATTTGAACAAATAATTGTGACATTTCTGAGTATGGATAAATTAATACATATGTATTTAACATATAGCTATATACAGCTAATCCAAAATATTTCCTTGATGTGTGATCTGTTCATTAAGCCTTGTAAACTTTTGTTTTATTTCATTTTTTGTGAAAGAAAATATGCTGGAGCATCTTTGGAGGATTCCAGAACATGTAAAAGAATTGGGTAATCGTTTGAGAAAGCATCTGTCAGGCAATCTGACCTTTCCAGGTGGTGTGACTTAGTCTGACCTGTAGGATTTTTTGCTTGCAACTTGCCTCGCTGAATGTGATTTATAGTAGTTTTATTTAATTTTTAAAAATAGAATGTCCAATGAGGAGCCCCTCCTATGTCCAGTACAAATGTTGAAAAATCTTTTTGTTTGGAGAATAGTTCAATGCTTTGTTTGCCCTGACTTTGTATTTAAAATCACCTGTAATCCTTTAACTAATGTAAACAATACAAAGCCGCTGCTTTAGTTTGCATGCTCCATTCCCTTCTGGAGTTGAGCCAAACCACATGATCTGCATTTATTTGCGTTTATGTTTTCAATGTTCACTGTGCATTCACCATTGAGCAATGGTGCACCAACTCACTTCCTTTCTTTTTTCCTGTGCAACACTAATGGGCATCTTATGTTAGAGCAGTAGTTTATTTTCCCCCCAGATTAGAATTACTTTCTCAGTCTTAGTACAGTCATGTTAATCAGTCCCCATTCAAATATTTTGTTTGCAATTATTGTGAATCAGCTTATGCAGTATGTACTGTTATTGTAGTAGAATTTTATTTTGTAGTTTTAATAATAATTGCATTTGGTGTAGCGCCTTATCACGTTGTTGCAATGTCTCAAAGCGCTTCACAGGCTATACTGTGAAATGGATTTGACTATTTTGTGGGTGAAGCACGATAGCCAATTTCATAGTTGTAGAGTTAGTAGGTGTGTTTGTCAGCTCTCCCCTATTTAATTTTTTTATTTTGCTTCAATTTTTAAAAAAAAGCATGTAAGTAACCTTTGGAAAGAGATATCTTTGTCAATGCATCACTCTACCCACCACCATTATCTGTCCCTAATTGAGACCTACCCCAACAATGAGTGCAGTTAAAAAGAAAATGAAGCATTCAGTTATTTGCCTGGCCCTGCACCACTGCAAGAGGTAGTTTGACAGTCTAATTTGAAGCTCTGGAGAAGAATCATGTTGGGTTGGAGCTGTGTGACTACTGTTGATATCAACATGATTGGTTTGCATGAATTAGTTAAGACCATTTCTTTAATTGTCCGCCCTCCCCACCCCACACACACACACAAACAAAATTGCATGTGCTTTAAGCTGTTAATGTATCACATTTTTATTTTGAGGTTTTCAGCTTGAGCTCACTAAAGCATTGCATGTAATTTCTGTGCATGAGTGTGCGGAAATGTTCATGCTAAGGAAAGAATGGTGTTGCACTCAGTATTAGTGTCAAGTGTTCTCAATTTTTTTCCTAGCATGACTTAGATCCAGGATAGAGCTCCCTTTATACTATTATCAACAATGATATTCAACCCTATTTTCAGAAGATCACCTTCTGCTTTCCATTTTCCACATCAGGCAATGAATGTAGTGGCTCTTCTAAGTGAAGGAGACAATTTTGGGCAAAGGCTTGGAACACAGAATTATTATGAGAAGAAAATTTCTTACTGAAACATTATATTTGTGTAGCGCCTTTCACATTGGGAGGAGGTCCCAAGGCTTACATTAGCTAATCTGATCGATGCAATTTTGCATGATTCATTTAAAGTCACAAGTTGAGTTTATTCATATGATACAACTATTGATTAACCTCTTGCATTGTATTCATATGAACTTTATATTAGGAACAAAAACTTAGTAAAAACAGTTCAGCATTTCAATTGATTGAGACAACAACATTTTGTTTGTAACGACAGTCCATCCTTGCATTTTCATGAATTGAATTTGTTGTAATAAATCATACTGTAAGCTTTAATTTTTTCTTTGGATTTGCTTGCTCTCTCTTTTGGACTAGTAAAGATTTTCATATGTGAGAATAATCTTTCAGCATTAGCAATTGACATGGACAAGACCTTGATGCACCAAACAGTCTGGCGTGAAAAGTCGGACATGATTTAACACACAAGATGAATGCAAACTTGAATTTCAGATTCTGGACAAAGTTTCCTTGAAAGGCAAGCTTTTGCCTTTAAAAGCTTAAAGGCAATGGTGAGATCTATCTGCAGCACAGCTTGCCTTTCAAGCCACCTATCTTGTTGAGGGAAGGCAGAGGATACAACTAGCCAGGAAAATAAACCGTGATTAACCTCTTTCCCACAGGCTTATTGGTTGGATTGTGTTGGTGGGAAATGTGTTTTAAATCTTATTATTTGCATTTTAAATATAGACAAAGTTAGAATATCTACTTGCTTCATTTTACTTCTGTGGGATTTTTGGGGTGTTTTATTATTATAACCAACATCCTGCTGGTGAGTTTTTATCATACAGCTAACCCTTGAGCTTGATATTTCTCTGTACAGTGTTGAAAGGCCATCTGGATATGGTTTTAAACTTTCCACACCACTGTCTAGGAAATTCTCTTTTACTATATTTGATTGATTGATACAGTCCTAGTTATCTTTATTTATTGTACATATGATAAGAGCATTTCAATAAGTGCTGTGTTGCTTCTGATCAGTTAGCATTTGTGCTGTTCTATATTTTTTATTTTGAAATATTAAGTACAGTAAATAGTTTTCTAATGCTGCATTACATTTCAGATAGATGACAGTTCCACAGCCTAATTTGCTAAATCCAGTATTCTTTTGAAGAACAAAATCATGTTACTTGCCTGAGCTCAGTTGCCTGAGACCCACCTTAATGGTGGGGATACTCAAGAAGGTACTCCAAGTTCAGGATTGACACCTGCCTGTCATGTGGGCAAGTGTGATTCTCCCCTTTAATTTTCACATGGCTAAGCCCCCCGCGTGGACAGTTGTCATACTCCTATTGTTGTTCTGGCGGAAATTGGTTAGTTTCCTGGCATGTACTAGAGATCAAATTGTGTTGACAGAGAGGAAGCCATGCTGAGAAAACAATACTTCCACTTATGTGCTGACTCTGATCCCCTTTGCCCCTCAATATAAAATGAGCATTTTTCAAAGCCATTAGGTAGGCAATCAGATTGAAAAGTGAATATGGTATAGTGGAGTCTTTTTGCTCATCAGTTTAACTGTCTCTTTTTATCGTCAACTTTTTGAACTTAAGTACCACAGACACTGAGCACCCACATACAATGGGATCTAAAGTTGCTAAATACCACCCCTGTAGCTAACAAATTGGATATAATGGAGCAGCCTTTTGCTGAAGTCCTTATAGAGGCTATCTTTCCTTTTTTTTAGTTTCCTCATTTGAACCGAGCAGAGATGAATCAAGCAGCGATGAAACCAGTGATCTGGCAAGCAATGTGGCACGAAGACGCCGTACTAGAAAAAGAACAATGTCTGCTTCGGAAACTGAGGAGAAACCCGATGAGGAGGAGCCAGAGCAGCAGCAAATTCAGGAGCAGCATCGCCATCGGTTCAATACTACCCTGAATAAATGCATTTTACTTGCACTGGTTATAGCTTTCAGCATGGGATTTGGACACTTCTATGGTATGTTATTGGAGTGTGGCTTTACTAACTAGCAGTAAAAGTAGGTTGTGCCCTGACCTTGGACAGCGCTTCAGTTTGCATATGTGGTGGATCAGTTTGTTCTTCTTCCCTTTCATAATACAATTCTATCACATACTTTGTGTTGTGAAACAATTTCTGCTATGGAATAACTGTAGTTGAAACTGGCATCACTTTGACATTTGGAGTTGGGATGAGACCAACATGGGGAGGTGGTTTTGCATTTTAGGGGACATTTGCACCTGTTGCTGTGTAAATGCAACCAATGCAAAACCAACCTTAAAAGTTTAAAACAACTGCCTAGCCAGTTCTTTCTATAATTGACAGTTTCACTGTCAGTTGTATACTGTTGAGCAGGTGTCAGTGCTCCTCTGACTGAAATGCAGTTGCACAGGTAGTTATGACTCTGTCCTCTCTGCTTATATTTTAAAAGCATGTGCCAGTGTCATGTAGAGCCTGTGGTGTGGCATTAATACAATAATGCTCTAGCACAACAGAGTGAAAGAAATATCGATTATATAACTTTTGATTCTGCCATGCTGAGTTTCAGCAGTCAGTGCAGTTCCAAAGCATCTGCTATAAGGGAGAGGAGAAATTTGATAACGGTGTCTTCTGGTTCACCTTTATGAGTCATTGGTGCCTGGCCAAGAACGGAATTGGTAGTGCTGCATTAGTGCCTTAAAAGCAGCTTTTAGCTGGTGACCTACCATCTTAGACACAAAAAGATGAAGGAGGGGTGGGCATCAGCAAAGCAAAACATGGGAGAAGAGGTGCATTTACATAAATAATAGGCGGTTTTATATAAAGCTGTATTTTCTCAAGAGGCAGAAACATACCCTCAAAAATAAATAAAATCAGTTTCCAATAAAAAACAGAATTTTGTGTTCAAGAATCCTAAATAATGTCTCAAGCATATTAGCTCACCCTTCCACTCTCTGCCAGAATGGGGTCTCAATTCCTGGAGTGGGTGGGAGAGGGGGGGAGGGGGGCGGAATAACAATTGCGGAACAAAGCAGTGTTAAGCTGTGCCATGGGTTATTGAGGGAAAATTCGCTTTGTCCAGAGTTATTTGCTGGATCAAAAATAATCTTGCAGCACTTTAATCGTTGCTTAAAATGTGAAATATCCTAATATCAATAACATAACGAAAGGAAAATTTAAAAATAGATGTGCTTCTCTAAAATTAAAAGTGCATTTAGGAACAGTCAAACAAGTTGAACTATTAAGAACGAAGACTGACTTCTTCACCTGTGACTGAGTTGTAAACCTTCCAGAAAGTTGGAAATTTTGTCGTGTACATTTAATTTAAATGGAGTTCTGTTGTCATGTCTAAAATCACTTCATGTTCTATGATCCGCCTCATGTTTAGTTTTATATTTTCAGGTACATTTGAAGGTAAGAAAGGCAGTAAGTACAATAATAACAGTTATGGGAATGGTGTGGAAATATTAATCTGATTGATAGCTGTCTGGGAACCTTTTTTGTTTTATTGTAGCAGTGCCCTAATTGTTTGCCATTGAATTACTTTCTGGTCGACAAGCGTATCCATTGACAGGTAGGACTGATGTGCTCTCAAGCTTCCATCTTCTGTGCAATAATTGACTCATGATGGTGCAAATTTCCTTCCCAATGGGAGAAGTGCTTGCCTTCTTCCTGGGACCTCTTAAGCTGGCACAGATTGATCATTCAAAAGAGTTGGGGTAATTTCTCTCTTCTCTCCCCCTCCCCCTCCCACGCCCTCCAGAATATAGATATCTCAGGAATGCATATTGGTACCACAACATTGTGCAATCTTGCTTTAAAGCACTTAGAAGAGTTATTGTTCTTAAAGCAAATTACCCTGGCCAGATGAAAAAATTGCCACATATTTATTATATTTATTGTAACAAATGGTATAGCACTTGCAGTAACCAAGTAAAGTTTTTTTTTAAAGCCCCCCCCCACACACACACATTTGGTGCCTGGATTTGATGTGAAATTATTAAAAGTATTCTTTTAGCACTGTATGCAGCATGTAAAATGTGATTTAATATTGATTGCTGTCCTTATGCAGTAACACAGATTCCACCAAGATTTTTAGGTTTTAATGCTTTGTTAAAACATGTAAAGCTATTTGTAATACATTTTTTAAAAGTTTAAATCAGTTAATATACTGGAACAGTGAGTGTATAAAGTGCGTAATCTCATCTAGCTTATCCTATAGCATTTTGATTATGATTGATGCTTTTATTAATGGGAAATTGACGAATAACTGTCACTAAATGAGTTTATTGCTTCCATGTCAACCAAATCCATTGATGTGTGTAACTGGAACTTCTTGTTAAAATCAGGGGTGGGTGCTCTTGTGAGAATCTGTGCATAGTTTCCCTCACCGAGTTCTAGATCTTTCTGAAACTGATTGCTTATGTTCTCAGCATTTCATGCAAAAGAAAGGGAGACAATTAGAGAAGTGCCCAGGTTCTTGATGGCTCCCATTAAACATAAAATCCATACCTCGGCTGACAATTGTCTCTCCTCACTGGTTGTTTCTTTTTTTCTGCTTGTCAAGATAAAGCATGTCTGTGCTAAGGAAGGCTGGACAGTCAATGTCATGAAGCACCCTTGTGTCAGATGTAGCATGACCATCTGCAAATGTAAAAAAAAGTTTGCTCTTATGTAACCTAGCATTGAACTCTTCTTCCTTACCCGCTCCTCAGATCTTAAGAGCAGCATTACCTACTTCTAGTGTGTTTTTTTAAAAAAATTCAACACCAGCTATCCTTAAAGCTTGGCCTTTCTGAGACAAGATTGACAGTTTGTACAAATTTGATGACAGTTTTGTGTTTTTGGCTATGCCAGGCACCTCTCACAGTTGTGCAGTTGAAATGGGAAACTTGCTTGGAAATTGACTAAACTCATTTGTGTAGGAGCCATCCAATTGGCAGAAAGGCTTCATTTTATGCATTTTATTTAAAAAGACATTTAACAAAAATATTTGGTCTAAAATGACTTCACTCTTTCAATAGTAGTCAATCTTATTTGTGGAGATCAGATCATGTTATTGTTGGGCATGAGTAATGTACTAATATAAAAGGCTTCACTCTCAATGCATTTTACACTCATAAAATATATTCTTTAAGAAGTGTTTTTTTTAATAATTTATATTTAATGTTGTGTAATTACATTTTACACTGCTCTGGCGATCAACTTAGAAAGTGCGACATTGTATAAAAAATTTATTCTAGGTACGGTACATTAATGGTGCTTTAAAAACTGCAGTGATCCCACAGGAACAAAAAAGTCACATCAACTATTTGATTTACGCAGAGAAAAAGTAGTAGAATTAGAGAGCTTAAAAATATATTTTTCCTTCAGGTTTATCATAAGACGTTTGCACCAGTAGTAAACTTTTACTTCTCTTTCCTTCTCCCATTTGCAGACCTCAGAGCAGCATTTCCGATTACGCCAGTGTGAAATACTGTTTCTTTCACAATTGTGAAGATGATGGATTGGTAATAGTTGTGAAATAATAGCCAGTATTGTAAGCGGTGAAAAACAAGCAGGAAAGGCCTACTATGGACCACACTACATCGCTACTTTTCTTGGGGCGGGGGGGGGGGGAAGTATTGTGTAGATACTCCCAGAACCCCAATGTAATCGGGTAAAAGCTGCAATACATTCATCCAACGCCTGCCCCCATCCTGCCTCCACCTTTACTATTCAACCTTGACCTTCTTCCTTCCACAGACCAACCCCAAACTCTCCCAGCCCCAGCAGCATAGAAATCATGGTGCCTTGTTGAGTGTTCACTTTGGACTTCATCTATCGTTATGTACTTAAAATACTGTTCTCGGGCATGTGCAAGTTCTTTCTTGAAGGAGTTAAGCAATGCAGCATCGAATGCTTTTGTTGGGAGGCTGTTCAACATTATCACTACTCTCTGAGAGTAGCCTGTGTTTCTGAGAGAACTGTAATTTTTATAGTGCTATGGTGTGCTTTTTATTGGCTGTTTGCAGGAACTACCCAGATACAGGAGCAACAGAAACTGACAATGAAACTCCATGAAGATGAAATAAACGATGTTAGAGATGATCTCTTTCAGTGTCAGAAAGAGCAAGATGCAATTATAGACAAGGTGGGTAGTGATGTGTACAAGCCTCATGTCAAAGTGTTGTATTATGGTTGTATTATGCTTAACCTTGACGTTCCTGAACAAATAGAATCTCTTAGCCCAACAATAAAGGATGAAATATTCCAGGGAACTAATGTTTGATCTCTCATTCCTGGGTGCAGGGACCAGTTTTAGTGATGAAGTTGCAGCTTCAACTAAGATCTGCTGGCTCACTAAAACCCGGATCAAACGTAGGACTTTTCTACTCTATGCTATTTAGCTTCTCACTGGATAAACTGAATGAGTTACAGGAACAGCAGCAAAGTACTATTTCCAAAATGTCCTGGGTGCATCCAGTGGCAATTAATAAGTGATGTGTTACAATTTAGGAAACACCTGGGCAACTAGTAGAGGAAAAACAAGGCACAATGCTTTCAGTGACGGAACTTATGGATAAAATGACAAAAGAGAATCAGCAACTCAGACGAAAGCATACTGAGCTTCAGGTAACTCAACTGGTCTTGGATATAGGACTGTTTTCTGAAACTAAAATTATTTATATAGTGTGTATATATTTTTGCAACAAATCCGCAACTTGTGCATATTACAAATAATGAATCTGACTTAACATTCTGCTGGCGATATCCAATGTCTTTAAATTTCAGGCCTAAACGTGTTGTCAGTTTGTTGTGATTCTCTATTCAGATTTTAAAAATGGAGAACACAATAAAATATTCTGTCAGATTGGAGATCATAAAGATTATTTTTATAAATTAACCTTGGAATGGGGAGATAAATAAAACTAATCCAAAAGGCTTTTAAACCTTTATTGTTTGACAGGATGAAAACTAATTCTATTATTAATGTATCAAGTCAACATAGCACCCATGAAGCAGAGGATAGGAGTTGTATTTTTGTGCTTTCGTTTCCCCTACCCTCCTCTATTCCCATGTTCAACCACATAACAACCGCCAGGATTACTTGTGTAAGTGTAAATAATCTAGAGAATACTTTAAATTGTCTCACCTATTCTGTGGTTTTGGGAGCCATAACCCTATTCCCTAATCTCTTTCACCTGGTGAATACGTTGTGTTGAGCATATGTGATAACTGCTATGGTCATTCAGTCAGACCTATGCCTATAAGTGAGAAGACCATTTCAAAATTCAGCACCTAAATCATAGCAATGAGTACTTTTATGCTGAAACTACTCGTCTCCCCTTGTGGTTCTTTATAAGTAACCATTTTTAAGAGTTGGAGGCTTGGTAAGATTTCACCAGGCATATGTGATTTGTATATAATAAATCCAGAAATGCTACATGCATGTGAATGCCTTTTACACATACAGCATATGCTTAATAGTCTTCCATTTTTGATTACTTGACTAGTCATACAGAGAGAACTTGGCAATGCGTTTGAAACAGACTGTGGATGAGAAGCTATCTGTTCAGTTTCAGCACCAAAACCTTGCTAAAGAGAATCAGCGAATGAAGCAATCTCTGGAAAGGGAAGAAAAAGCTTTATCCTCGCTGCAAAGTGAGCTTCGAAAACTGAGGGAACAGATCAGAACATTAGAGGGAAAACGTATAGATGCTGAAACAATCATCAATGAGAACCAGAAACTAAAGGATCATTTGGAGGAGGACAAGCAACAAATGCAGAGTTTCCTTCAACAGAAAGAGACTCTTGTAGGTGAAGCTCAGATGTTAAGGAGGGAATTAGATAAAGAACGCCGAACTACTGAAGCTTTGCGGAAGGAACTAGATTCTTTGAGCCATCTTCAACATGAAGATGATGATGATGATACGGTACAACCAGATCAAGAAGGTTTACAAACAAGACTGTCGGAGCTGGAGAAGAAATTAGATTTTGAGCAGCAGCGTTCTGACTTGTGGGAGCGTCTTTATGTTGAAGCTAAAGAAGCAAAGGAAGATGACCCTGAAGTTGAATCTTTGAAAACGAATACCAGAACATCAAAGGAAGAATTTGGTGGCAAAGGGGGCAAAAGGAGACAATTCAAGGAAAATGTCATGAACTCGTTTAAAAATAGTTTTGACGCTGTGAAAAACTCGACCAAAGAGTTTGTGCGACATCATAAGGAAAAAATTAAACAGGCGAAAGAAGCTGTGAAAGAGAACCTTAAAAAGTTCTCTGATTCCGTCAAATCCACATTCCGACGTTTCAAAGATTCAGCGAAAAATTTATTTTCCAAAAATAAAAGACGAGAAGAATCAAGAGATGCAAGGGCCAGGTATCGTTTCCAGCAATGTTCCAATGGACGCTCGTGTAGTGCAGATGAATACAAACGTCAAGCCACTCACCAAGGTAAAAATTCAGGTCAATATAAACACAATGAGCAATTCCACAAGAATTCAGGGAAACCCCATAAAATGGATCCTGAAGAGTCGCCTAGCTTTGCCAAACGTACAAGCGGTTTTGATCAATTTAGAAAACATTCCTACCACCAGACTCCTAAAGGCTGCTCTAATGTCTTTGAATGTGCCCATCAAGAATCCCTTAATCTCTTTAATAAAGTTCTTGATCCCATCAAGGTTGAAGAGTTCCAGGACCTGCTACATAAATATCTTCAACAGGAGGACGTCAACTTCCAACACTGGGGTGAACTGGAGAAATTTATAAACAAATTTTTCCACAATGGCCTCTTCATACATGACCAAATGTTGTTCTCTGATTTTGTCAATGATGTTGAGGATTACCTGGAAGATATTGTTGAGTATCAAGAAGGCAAAAATGACCCTTTTGATGACCTGGATGAATACATCTATCGTCATTTTTTTGGTGACACTTATTTTAATCAGTTTGGACCAAGGTAAATTTGAACAATTTTAACTCTTGAATCTTTTCTGTGTTAAGATTTATAAACATTGCCTAAAATTAATCTGAATTATTTGTTAGCATGGCTCAGTTGATTTACATATTCATTTCTGGGTGAGAAGGGGGTGGGTGCTAATCACTAAAAATAACAATCTTTTCATTAGTAAGCAATTCTGATTGGAACTTAATAGTCTTCCACAATATCCAAACACACATAGTGTCTTTCCTGAGATGAGGCACAGCATATTAAATGCTCAAGCTCTAATTCTCTTAGATCTTATTGTCACTGTAGAAAGCTGTCAATTTGGCGACGAAGCCTCCCGCTGTCCAGCCAATAGATTGATGATCGAGCCATTTGCTATTTGTTTCAGACAACCTGAAAAATGTGGTGCACAATCCAAATATGGAATTTTGCTTTGATATTTTCTGTTGACTATATGACACATGTTTTTTTTTGAGCAATGAGTTCACCGTCTGGAAAAGTTTGCTGTGGAAAAGTAATTCAATATCCCAACAAATATGCAAATGAGGAGTGCATAGGCTGAATTAAAGTTCTTAGGTGGTATAAATATTGTTTTCAACTGGACTGGATCAAATTGGTCACTTTTTTTAAAAAAAATTGTTTTAATATCCTTTATTGGGTACATCCAGCCAGTAGATTAATAACAGAAATTTTCTGTTTGGGGGACATTATATCATGCCACATAATATAGTGAATCATGTTTGTTTGTAAAATTTAAACAGAATCTGGCTCAATGACTGATAAAAATTAACAATACAATTTGTGAAACTTTAATACTAAAACAAAATAATGAACTTTTTCTTAACCTTTCAGTCAACTTTTTAACACTCATAAATACAAGCAGTCATCTAAGAATGCTGAAGGCCCGAAACATCAGAAACATCAACGGAAATATCAACAACAGGCTTATCACAAGGAACGGAAATGGAATAAGCCAAGACGTACCAATGGAAGACATATGGCAAATGTTGAAATTGAGTTGGGTCCAATGCCTTTTGATCCAAAATATTGATGGGTGTAAACTGCATAAATCTGTGCTTGAATATGATCCTATCTGAATGCTGCTTTATGAAACATGCCTAAGAGTGATGCCATTTCAAAGAAAAAAACTATATGCATCTTGTTTGATTTCAAGTATTGAGAGTAGAATATTTTCCCCTTTAGCAAAAAAACTGGCCAGAAACTTCCTAAGCCATTTGTTGTGTTGTAAGTGTGTTACGTTATACCAAAGTAGTTTGGTATTAAGAGTTTTAAAATTGCAGGGTCTTTAGTGTATTCGCTAAGTCTTTGCATGCAATGGTGTACATGCATGAGAATGCAAATCTCTTCCCTTCAGCAAGTTTGTAATTTGCTATCATGTGAATTTAAATTTCATGAGGTGTAAATTATTAAGAATATTTGGTGTGCTAAATTTTGCACTATTTGAAGGTTGTAATTTTATTCTATGGTGAAGATTAGCCCAGTTCTTTTAGTTTCCCCTACTTTTGTGTATGCTTTTGTACAGATCTATTCACCTGTGTTAAATTTGTGTTGGGTATAGAGATGCTTTATGTTTTTAATTTGAATTCAACTTGGTTGCACCTTTTTCCGTTTAGCAAATAAAGTGAACACATGTAGGCAACTGATGATAAAATGGAAAATTTCATTGATAAAAATAATAAAGGCGCTGGCTTATTTCAAACCGTGTTTCTTTATGATTCAGCCTTACCTTTTATGAGTTCATGGATTGTCCAAGAGTTGTGAATGTTATTCGTTTTACATGTATGCAAATCTGTCTGACTTGCATATCCGAATACAGTTGCTTCAAAATAAAACCACATTGTTTGCAATAACATTGGTTTGAACTACATAGAATCCTTTTGCAGCCATCACAGCATGATGTTGATCAACTTATTAAGGACAATCGCTGGTGCAGAGGACTTGATTTTACTCCCCGCGCCCCCCTTCCCCCCCCCCCACCCCCCATTTCTGCTAATATTATAACTTGCTGCCGACAGCCGTTAATTGCAAACTGACAATGCTGCAAGGTTCACGATCTAAATCATCAGTTTCCTTCTATTATCGATCGCCAGTGGATAATTACTACAGTAATTACTACAGTAATTATCCACGGTGCCAAGTTTGCAGGGCCATGGGGTGGGTGGGTGGGTGGGTGGGTAAGAGCGCACGCGAGGTGGGGGTGCGGGCGAGGGTGGTGGTGGGGGGTGGGCTTTGGCCGGCTCTTTTCAAGGAGCCCGCACGGACACCAGTGGGGCCGAATGGCCTCCCTCCTGAGCTGTGTAATCCTACAATAGGGACGCGGCGAGTGGTGTGGTGATCCGGGTGGTGGGGTGGGGTGGGGGGGAGAGAGAGAGGTGCGGAGAGAGATGAGGGTGAGGCTAATGGACAGATGATTAATCTCTTGGCCATAAGCAAAGCCTCCAGAGGTCAATGGAGAGAGAGGGGGGGGGGAAGAGGGGTCATCACGTGACACTCACACTACAGAGGGGGGAGGGGTCACTGGCACATGCGCAGTGCTGTCTCCCTGCTCGAGGGCGGCAGGCGGGAAGGGAGGCCGTTAGTCCCCCCCTCACCCCCTCCCTCCCCCCCCGCCACCCCCGGTTATTACAAGGAATGACGGTATTATTAACGTGACTCCCCTTTGCTCTGCAGAGAGAGAGAGAGATAGAGAGAGAGAGCGCCGCTGGGTTCCCGGAGTGAGGAGGAAGAGGAGGAGGCGAGGGGCGGGGCCTGGGCCCTGGGCCCGCGGTGGTGGTGGTTGAGGAGGGGGAGGAGGCCATGTTCGGCAGGTTGTCCTTCCCTCAGATGTCCCTGATGACGGCGCTGGGGGTGGCGGGCGGCCTGTACGTGTACAAACCCATCTTCCAGCAGCTCAGCCTGGAGTCCAGAGCGGGTCTGGGGGGGGAGGAGGAGGAGAAGGAGGAGGTGAAGGTGAAGGAGGAGGAGAAGAAGGAGGAGGTGAAGGTGAAGGAGGAGGAGAAGAAGGAGGAGGTGAAGGTGAAGAAGGAGGAGGTGGAGGAGAAGGTGAAGGAAGAGGTGAAGGTGAAGGAGAAGGTGAAGGAGAAGGTGAAGGAGGAGAAGGTGAAGGAGGAGAAGGTGAAGGAGGAGGAGAAGAAGGTGAAGGAGGAGGAGAAGAAGGAGGTGGAGGAGAAGGGGGCCATTGAGAAGACTGCAGAGCAGAAGATGGCGGCGAGGGTTTGCTGTGGAGCCTAAACTTTAAAAGACTCACCATTTTTTGGGGGGGGTGGAAAAAAAAACCAATCCAGGGACCGCCGACAGTCATTTTTTTGTTAATTCACGATTTATGTACCTTCCCGACGCTGGTTAGTGACTGGAGGAGCTTGTGGCTCTTGACGGCCGGGCCGGGCCGCCTTCCGCCGAGGATCGATTGGTCTCTTGGTAAATACGGCTACGCAATGATCCTCGCGTTCCGATCCAGCGCCTCGTCACGCCGTCGAGGCGTCTCAGGGCGCCTCGCGGGGTAACGTCGCGGAGACGTGTTTTGTGGGTGAAACTTTATTGCTTGCGGTTCTCGTTTGAATGCTGTTGTTGTTCTTGCTCAGTTTGTAGCCGAACTCGAGTCACGGCAGATTTGGCCCCAGGGACACACAGTATTACCTCAACCGGGGACGTATGGTAACCCGTAAGGCAAATGTGCCAGAATTTAGAGGAGAGCGCTATCGGGAGCGGAGTTACGTAGAGCGATAGGACAGGGAAACAGGCCGTTTGCACCATCTGGTCCATGCTTGTGTTTCTAGTCCATTTGAGACCCCCTTATCTATCCGTCCTGTACCCCTCTATTGTCTTCTGCCTCAATTTATGCCTCATATTTTCTCACAAATACATTGATGCTCCAGCCTACTGCAAGGGCATGACGAAAGACAGAAGGGTACGTTAATGCAGCCTTAAACATTTGTTTGAATTGGGGAATATTTTAAGGTCGAATTTGCAGCATCAATGGTAATAATAATCCTCGACTTTCCTGTCAGTCTCAAAGTGCTTTACAGGAGTTACTGTAAAAGTGGGACGCCTCACCAATGTGATAATAGTAATAAATAATAATAATCCTTGCATTTGCATTTGATACAGCGCTTTTCACATCTTCTATGTACAGTTCACATCTGACCCAACTGTACAGCGCCTTGGGACGTCCTCCCGACGTGAAAGGCGCTCTATAAATGGAATCTTGTTGATGTTGTTGTTCTAGATGTCTCAAAGCGCTTTGCAAAATATACTGTGTAAAGTATATTTGTTGGCGAAACATGGCAGCCAGTTGCGCACAGCCGTGTCTCACAAACAGTTGTGGATTGAGTAAACAAATTATTCTTTTTCTTGAGAGATTATCAGGCATGTGCAGTAAGGAAACTTGCCCAAGGTTTCGCCCTGCCGGGAATCAAACCCAGGTCTCTCACTTCCAAGGCAAGTGCTCTACCCACTGAGCTACAGGACTCCACATAAGGCGGTATATCAAATGCAAGGATTATTATTCGTTATTTTGTAGGCAAACCACGTCAACAGCAACGTGCCAATCTCAGGATATTCTAAATAAATCATCCAGAAATGTACTGATTAGATAACTGAATATTTTTGAAAATGTCAATGTGACTTTTCTTTGGTCTTGCAGAATTATTCAGTGGTGGGTGGGCAGGAAAGTGTTGGATCACCACTATTTTATAGACTCAATGTGTGACTCAAAAGTACATACTGTATTTAATTCAACATATTTTCTTGATAAATACATCCCCTCACACACACCAATGTAAAATAATAGTTCAGTAGATGAAATAATCTTATTTATTTGATATGGAATATTAAAAAATGGCACTGCAAAATAAAACACGGAGCCGTGACTGCTGTAAATAACGGATTTGGTTAAGGAAGAATGAATGAAAAATGGTGATATTGTAATAAAAAAAGCTGTCAAATTTCTGAGTTTCTTGTGTCCTTTTATTGGGAAACTGATGTAACAATTACTGTAACAGAGGCCGGTCGTGGGAATGGGGGTTCAGGTGGTTGTCAGTCCCGTTGTCAGACAAAGCCTGACCCCTGGTCACCGTCTGTTGATTTAACTTGTGGCTCCTCGTCACCTGTATTTGCCCATCGGACAATGAAGTTGGGAATGGTTCGCCGGCCGCCAGTTGGATTACACCCTTCCAACCCCCCCCCCGCCCCCCCCCACCCTTCCAGCTGTAACTCATTCAATAAAAAAAATTCCTGGAAGCATGCAGCAATACTGGATTATTGAAAACATTTTCACAATTGCTCAATGTAATGTATAAATGTGCAGACGATGATTAAATCTGATGTACACTGGTATATTGGGACCGCTGTCATGCTGAACTACTGTTCAATTCATTTCAACCAAATTAATTTGCTTTTTCTACTGTGAAGATCTGGGTTTCTTTCAAGATTTAAGATTAGATGTCCATAAGTTGTCATGCAGGATGGATAGAATATTCTGCCAGCTATGCAGTGGCAAATAAGAGTGAAGATGAAGGATTGCTTCTATTTTTGTTTTAAAGTGGAAATTGGTTGTTTAAAATCACAATCCCCAAGAATCCCCAACTGAATGCGAGTAGAAGATAAGGAAAATTTATCTGGGGGGAAAACAAATGCTGCTTAAGTCACCCATGTTAAACATTTTAGATTGTCCCTGTTTTTGTGATCATCAGAGACTTTAACCAGTAAAGTTCAACTGTCAATAGCACTACTAAAGTTAAAGATATAATAATAATAATCCTAACATTTGATATTGCGCCTCTCATTATCATGTCGTCGAGATGTCTCAAAGTGCTACACAGAATATATTGTAAAGCGCATTGACCTTGTATTTGGGGTGATACGCGGCAGCCATTTGCGCACGGCAGTATCCCACAAACAACATGGATTGAGTGACCACATCACTTTTTTTTTGGAAGGATTATTATCCCCGGAAAACGATCTGAAACCAGTTGTGTTAGCCAATCGACTAACACAACTGGGTTCCTATTTACTGCCAGGTGAACAGAGGTGTGTGGAGTAAGGAAGTTTGTCAAGGATAACTTGTAAATGCGCAACCGTATCAGAGATAGAAAATTTACATCCCACCTGTATGCAGTTTAATTATGGGCAATCATCTTTCGTGCATTGGGCTCGATCAATCAATCTTGAAAAAATGTTGGTGTTTTTGGTGTATTGCGGTAGAACCACATTGTTGGCACGAGGTGGTGCTTGGTTATCGGAATCTGTAGTTTCCTAATCCAGGCACTGTGTGGCGCTTGCTTCGCATTATTCAATTGTAATCTGTTTTTGAGCAGCCGAACAAGCAGTCTCGGTATAAACGTTAGATGCAGCACCACTCAGTGGTACGAATCAGATGCTTTAGCTGTTAACTCCTTGACAGAACGTTTTGTTTGTAAATAAGCAAAAAACATGAGAAGAACTTTGTGGTGACGCAAAGTAATAAATGGAAGAACATTCGAATCTCAAGATATGTAAAAGTGACAACAAGAATATTAACTCCTTCCTCCTGAGTGGACGTGAACTCTGAAGGCAGTGCCAGTGCAAACTCACAAACTAACGCTAGCCCATCATTAACTAGCTGGACACATGACATACCTTAGTTTGAATGTCTTCACGGCTGCAATTGTATCCCACTCAATGTTAATGACTCTGTCTATAATCCTAGCATTTCTACAAAGATTTCCAACACAGGACCACCACTGTAGGCAGAACACGTCAAAGCAGACAGATTGTGTGAAGATGACGAGGCATGCTGTGTTGGCATGTGATTATACTGTGCCAGCAGCATGGAGTCTGTGATGTTGCTGTAAAGCCACATTCTAAACTCAGACAAGGTCAGGTCGCCAAAATATTGTTCTTTGAGTTTGAGGTTCAATCTTACTAATGATATGTATGGTAGTTTGTCACTGGCTATACAATGTGTTGTGAACCCGAGCATTAATCCACTTAAAGGACCGCAGAAAACTGGTGAAATGCTGGGAGAAGTGAGCAAATGGCTCAGATAAATCAAGTTCCAAGTTTAATACCGCATTCCATTGCCCTCACTCATTTATTCCGTAGTTCAAATAAATTGCACTTTTATTTTAATGATATTTTTTCCCGTTTCAAACCCAAGGGCAGACCTTTCATGTTTCTAACTACAAGGAGCATTGAGAATAAGTGAACTTCATGGTCCAATGGGAGTCAACGCTGTAAAGAGAACGATAAATGTTTCTTGAACCTGTTGATCATGGTTAGGAACTTTACAGAAAACAATCAGCCTCCAAGAGAACATTTGTGTGTGTAAATATAGTATTCACTGCGGCTCGCAACATGACCTAACCAAATGGAAAATACTCCTTCAGGTTCGAGACACCTAAATTGATGATCGTAATTTCAGTCTTGTACATAGTGTGTTTTATTGGGGAATAGAAATAAACTTGAGTGGTTCAACAAACAATCAGTGGTTATTACTAAATCCTATTACTTCCTGATATATAATCTCTAAATGGGAGGATGGATATGTTCCGCCCAATCCACCAACAGTATTTATCATTAAAAACTTATTTTTTTTAAGCTCTTTGCATGCAAATTTTAATTCAAATAGGGCGACATTTTACTTGCAAACCCAATACCAGCATAAGTTTTATGCTACTTTTTTTTTGGGGGGGGGTGTGGGCGCGAGGTGGGGGGGGTGTGGGCGTGGGGGGGGTGAGGTGGGAGGGGGTACACTTGAGCGAACCAATGTCACGTAATAACAATAATCCTTGCATTTGATATCGCGCCTTAACGCGCCGCCGAGACGTCTCAAAGCGCATCGCGGAATAATACCGCGAAGCATAAATAAACCCCCACCCGCGCGCGTTTGACCACCACCGAGACTTGGAAACGTGCGGAGAAAGCCTTTGGAAGAATTGGACTGAGCTGCAGAGAGAGAGAGGTGGAGGAGGAGTGAGGGGTGGGGGGGGAAGAGACGATGGATGGGTGGGGTGGTGGGGTGGGGGGGGGACTTTCTTTCTCAGCATCAGCCAACAGTCTGAAACCAGGGAGCAGTTGGTTGCTAAGGTACAAACCAGAGAACCTCTGAGGCCAACCGTATAGGAGGAGCTCCATTTACGGGAAGTGATGTTGCGTTGACGGAAAGACCTCTTTACCACCTTTTAAAACAAAAATAGGAAGGGAGAGAGATCTCAGCGAATTGCAATTTAAAAATCCACACACACACACACCAAAAAAAAAGAGAGAGACTTTGGCAGCAACAGCAGCAGCAGCAGCTGCAGCGCTCCTCACTCTCCAGTGCAGCAGCCAACTTGGTGGAGAGCCTCCAGGGGGGCAAAAGAGGGGCAAAAGAAGGGGGCAAAGGGGGCAGAGAGATACACACACAGCCCAGAGCCAACCCAGGGACTTGGCAAAGGAAAGGGATCAGGGTGAGTACACTCAAGACCAGACTTTCTGACTTGACTTTTATGATTGCGACAAAGGTTGGGATGTGGCAGAAGTTTCTTCTTTTTTATTTGGTCGTTTTGGGGCTTCTTTTTTTTATTGCAAAGGAAAGATTTCTTAAGCAATTTTTTGCACCCCCCCCTCTCTCTCCCAGGTGGAGGGAGGGAGGTGGAGGTGGTGAGGGGGTGATGGGGGAAAAAAAAAAGAGACCACAATTTGTGTTTTATTCTTTTATTTAGTCGTTCAGCTTCCCATCTCTGCACAGATAATATTGTGGCTTTGGTGCTGACTGGCGATGCTGTGATATAATGCTTTCCTTTCCAGGGGACCCCCCCCCCCCCCTTTGACCAAACGCGACCAAAGGCATTTGCCAAATCAGCCCAGAGAGTCAGGTGCAAAGAGGAATTATTTTTTAAAAAAAAAATCTATAATAATAATCCACCACTGCTTGTGCCGCAATTGCCGAAATGCACACAATTCACCTCGCAGCGTGTTCCCGTGAAGCGCTTTGAGACGTCTCAAAGACGTGATAAGGCGCTATTATCAAATGCAAGGGTTATTTGTAATTATGGTTAGCTATCTCCACTTCCAGTGACTCGCCTACCCGCCACACGTGCGTGGTCTTGTCAGTTTCATTCCACGAAATATGAATTGTGCAATGTCTTACCTTATTGCATCTTTTATTCTAATTTCTGAGAATTGTTGCCATGCAGTCTGCGCATTCTTGCGCGTGGATTTTCAAATTATGCCACACTGTTTTACCTGAACCAGCGCATGTCAGTGCTAGAGTGCTGGTTAACTCATGTAACTCCGAATGCACATAGACATTCAGTTTCCTTGATGCTGGGCTACCAGCAAATGTGGACCACGTGAATCTCTGGTTCAAATATTGGACAGCAGACACTGTACATTTGTAAAATTCATCTTGATGATTTCTTGAGAGGCTTTTGCCCACCGACCGGAATACCCTCTGAAGTGGGTATTTGACATGTTGGCTCAAATCAAATTAATAATACTTGTATTTGATATAGCTTCACAGGATTTACTGTAAAGTGTAGTGACTGCGTCATTTGTAGATGAACATGACAGCCCAATTGCCCGCAGCAATGTACCACCAACAGCCGTGAAGTAAATGACCAATTTTATCTCGGGAATTGTTGTATGTAGAGTCCTATAGCTCAGTAGTTATAGCACTCACCTCACAAGCGAGAGACCTGGGTTTGATTCCCAGCAGGGCGAAATGTTGGGCAAGTTTCCTTACAACAACAAGATTACATTTGTAATCTTTAATTAATTACATTATTATTTAAATTATTATTAATATATTTAAATATTCATTAAATAATTATGTTGGGAGGACATCCCAAGGCGCTGGACAGAGTACAGCATTTCACACACCTCTGTTTACTTAGCAGTAAGTAGGAACCCCTGGTTGTTAGTTGATTGGTAGATCACTTTTCTGGGGTTAATAATTCCTTCAAAAAAATGATAATAAATTGGTCACTTAATCCACGACTTTTTGTGGGACGCTGCTGTGCGCAATTGGCTGCTGCATTTCACCCACAAAATATACAGTGAATTCACTTTACAGTATATTCTGTGAAGCGCTTTGAGACATCTCGAAGATGTGATAAGACACTATATCAAATGCAAGGATTATTATCATTATGGTTATTGGCCAGGGGTCCTGGGTCCTCTTCGAATAGGATTGTTAACGTTTGCTGAGCCAGCAGACAGAACCCTAGTTAACATCTCATCTGAAGGATGGCACCTCCAACAAGGCAGTGCCCTCTTCCCCCCACCTCCCACCACTCCCCCACTGAACTGACTGTAAGCCTAGACTGTGAGGTTAACGTTCAAATATGGAGCTTGGGCCCACAACTTGTTGACTGAGAGGCTAGGATATTGCCTACTGTGATTCAACCATCATCGTACATTTCAGGCCTCTAACATAGCCTGTGAACTGAGAGACAATCAATGTTTCCATCAGTGCTTTGCTTCCGTTAGTTAACGGCTTTCCTGACCATTTGTTCAATTCTTGGAATTCTGAATAGTACATCCTGTTTACAGTAACTGTAGAGTTACTGTAGACCAGAGGTCTTCTGTCTGTCCAACATTGAGATCATATCAATATTTTTCGCTGCTAGCTGATTTACTTTAAAAGCAAACAATTGAAATGGTTTCAATAGACAAGTATTTGAATAAGTTAGATTCTCAAAATTCAAAATGTTGAATTAACTTGAGCTTGTCAAGATTGAATATTTTACATTTTTTCGTCACTACAATGTGAATCAATCCACGACTGTTTGTGGGTCACTGCTGTGCGCAATTGGCTGCCGCGTTTTGCCCACAAATATACGGTCAATTCACTTTACAGTCTATTCTGTGAAGCGCTTTGAGACGTCTAGAAGATGTGAAAAGCGCTCTATCAAATGCAAGGATTATTATTATTATAATGTGTATTGCCATCTGTTGTATTTAACCAGCAATATTAATCATATTGAACAGGATTCAACTGATTGAACCAGATGTACTTACAGTACTTACATTACATCTGCACTGATTGGTGTTAATTAAATGCTTAATCTAAAAACTGGATTGTTTTAACATTGAAATCTTTTCCATGAGGCACAGTACTAAACACACAATGTTGAGCCCTCGGAAGCCTGTAAATGCTGGAAGTAACCATATGATAGGATTACAGTTGTTGGTATGGGAATGATATAGTAATTTGAGTGATGCCATTGATAATCGCTTGTGCAAAAAATCACAGGAGAGAAGGATTAACCACAACTTGAAAGATTTTTTTCTTTTTTTTAAAAAAAAAGATGTTTTGATGATGAAATGTTATATGAAAGACTAAACATTTGAGTGTTGTCCGCAGAACACAAACTTAATGTTCTACGGCTGACTTGAATTCAGGAGGTCTCATAGTACAAAATAGCAAATTCTCTAAGCTGCTTGTACTTGAGACTATTCTGAGCCTCACAAATATTTTTGTTGGAACAGGTGGCCATGTCACATTGCTGCTATTGATAAGACCTCTGTTCTTTCTACTTTCTACTCCTTCCCCCTGGGTCTTTTTGTATATGTTGCTAACTTTTATCTGGTAAAGGAGAGAGAGTGTGTTCTGGACTAATCAGAGTTAACTTGGATGAGCAAACTTCAACATGGGGAAGATGTATTTGAATTTGGAGCATACTCAAATTCTACTTTATATATAGAATTTGTAGTGGTCAGTAAAATATCGCTGCACTAATCTAGTGATTGATTGTGGGAGTCTGCTGTCTGCCATGAACAAATATGAGCAAATCAGGGAATGTGATGTCTGTCTAATGTAATAGAGGTTTTTCATGGAACCACTGGAGATGCTAAACCAATTAAGCTTTGCTTGTTACGCACTATAAACTGTTTCACGGAAAATGTACAAACTGCTGGATTTGCAAGGCAGCTTTTTTGCAGATGTTATTCAATGATAACATGTTTGTTAAACAAAATCTGCAAAATAAAATGTACCTCTATTGTACCTTTGCGTTGTGCAGTTGGTTACAGTGAGGAGAGGCGCATGAGTTGCTTCTCCAAGTTTGTTGCTAGTACATTATATGTAGTCAATTTCAAGATCTTCACTTTACCCCAGATGTGCAGTCTCCAGTTCTGTCTTAGCTCACAGTCTCAATTCTTGCAGCTCATGACTTGTATCCCATTCTTTTTCATCCATCATCAGAAGCCTAGCCTTCAATCATTGCATATCCACAAGTTCACAAATACTTTATAACATTGCCCCTTCCATAGACTTTTATTTCTAAGACTCTACTGACAACACTGAATATTTCTATTTATCAATTACTGAGCAACAAATTAATGTTCAATGATTGACATTCTGCACCACCTTATTTCATGACGTTGCTTGTAGTTGTAAAGTTTTTTTTTGAGAAAACCCAAAGCATAAAAATACCTGATTCTTTGATAGTTAAGGAAACTGCTTACTTTTGTGATCTCCATACATTGTATCGGAAGATGCGCATTTTGTTTTTGTTTTGATGGTAATATTTGTACACTTAGGAATGTACTTCATGGTCATGTTTATTATTTGCATTTCTTTCATATTTTTCCTTTATATACAAAGCAATAATGTCTGAGCCTTTATTGGCTAATCTCAATGTTGGCCTAATTTTGTTGAATTGCTTCAAGGCTTCGTTGTTGACTAAACTACAGTAAATGTCGCCACACTATAAGACACAACATTTTCTACTACAAATACTGTATATCCAAGACAGTTGACAACCTTGTGAGTTGCTGCAAAATATGTTCTAATTTCTGTGTTTTTTCCTTGATGTGATTGTGATGCAGGCAGGATTGTTATTTCAAGACTTGTTTAACCTTCCCTGACATTTCCACTTGAACAATAAGCTTTGCGAGGAACTGGGAGATTGAAACTAACATGCCAACAACAATTGACATTATATTTGTAAGGAAGCTTTCTAGTAAACGAGCACATTTAAATGCATCTTGAAGTGTCCACAAAATGAGAATGGTTTGAAATGAACTGAATGGCGTTTTATCAGATGCAAGAGGGATTATTAAGTGAATTTGGATGCGAGATAGATAACTGGGAGAACTGAACTCTTCTAAAATAGTGTCACAGGATCTTTAACGTCCACCGCAATCACAATAAATCTTTGTTTAAATACTCATTCTAAATAGGGATGATCCAGTGTAAGTTATGAACTAGCAAGTTTTTTGTGTAGATTTTATGCAACAGTTGGGAGCTAGGGATTGATTGTCATGGCTGTGTAAAGCATTCGAACTTCATGCCAGCACTCTGATTGATCTGAATCCCTTCATTGCAACCTTGTACCACACACGCCAGTCAAGTGTTACTCTGCATGGCTAAACTGCGGCAGCTGTGCAATGACTTTTATTTCCCACTTCTGAAGCCAGTGAGTGAAGTGAATGGGATCCCTTTGTGCAGTTAAAGCTATTT